AGGTGGAAGTGGCACCTCTATACCCTCCCTGCCATAGGGGAGGAAAAGGAGATGAATAATAAAGTTCATGTTCCAGCTCCAGTAGCCTTTGCATGACACCATATTTAAACTCTTAAATTTAAACTCTTTGGCCGAGTACAATGGGGAGGTGAACTCATAAGTACTAAGTGATGAAGCACAGCAAGCAGCAAGGGGGGGGGGGGGTTTTATGTATCTATCAGAAGCAAACTAAGGGTACAGTTGTAATGTATTTTTTTGAAAAACACAAAGTTTAAAACTTGGCATTATACTAAATGTCCTTTGACCAGTAGCTGGCCACTTGGAGTGCCTCTGGTATTGCTATGAAGGTCCTCCATTGTGCGTGTGGCTGGGCACAGACTGCATTGTAACAGGTGGTCTTTGGTTTGTTGTTCCCCACACTCACATGTCGTGGACTCCACTTTGTGGCCCCATTTCTTAAGGTTGGCCCTGCATCTCGTGGTGCCGGAGCACAGTCTTCTTTTCAGCTGCTTTTAAATTGCCCAGTCTTCTGTGTGCCCGGGGGGGGGGGGAGTCTCTCATTTGGTATCAGCCATGGATTGAGGTTCTGGGTTTTAGCCTGCCACTTTTGGACTCTTGCTTGCTGAGGTGTTCCTGTGAGTATCTCTGTAGATCTTAGAAAACAATTTCTTAAATTAAGACATTGGCATGCTGGCTGATATCCGAACATGGAATGGGTTGGAGATGTCACTGCCTTGGTCCTTTCATTATTGGCTGCTACTTCCCAGAGGATGTCAGGTCGTGCAATACCGGCTAAAAAGGGGAGTGAAATGCTTCACTAGACAGCGACCCAACCTGCATCTGTGGCCCAGTATTGGAAAAGGTATTGTACACCTTGAAAATTTGCAGCAAGGCAAATTGAATGCCAAAATTGCAATGGAGGAGTGGGAGGCAGAACATCAGAAACAGAGGATGCACAGTCCAAAAACTTTGCTACTACAGCAACAAAACAACAGAGCAGCCTGACAGCTGATCAGACACAGCACCAAACAGCAAACTGTCTGTTGTCAAAGAAATCAAAAGAAGCTGACAAGGTGAGAAAGTGATCAGGTTAAGTCTGCAAAGCCCAAAAACAAAATGGAGGGGAAAGGTGTGTTTCTGTGTTGCTCCCAAAACTGCACAAACCACCCCTTCCTTTCCCTATAGTGCCTTAGGCCCCCAAAGACCTCAGGTGCAGGCACTGAAAATAACAACAGGCCCTTCCTCTTTCACTGTGATGCCAGAGCTGCTGCAAGTGTTTTTTATCATCCTCTCCCACAGTAGGGAAGGTGTAGATGTCACTGCCCACCTTTTAAAGAACACAATGGGCCCTCCTGGATTTTGCTCCTTGAGGTTGCTGCTTCATCAGGATTCAATCATAGTGCTGCCCCAGGGACAATGACTGTACAAATCAAGAAGCACCATCACCCTTTTGGTATCTTGAGGATTTTTATTATGTTAGTTTATAACTGTGCAGAAAGAAAGACAAAATCGCCGCCGTCATTGTTTGGCTCTGGCGACATCAGCAGTGAAGTCTCTCCTCTCACTCCAGGAACGCAGAAGTGGAAGACGAGCTTCTGGAATGCAGTGGACGCTGACCTTGTAGTATGTAGGATGTGCAGAGGTTTTCATCAACACAGGAAAATTTGCCTTTGTTTCAAGTACACGGAAACAAATGGCTAGTCCCAGATCCTTAGTTAAACAAACAACCAAACAAACAAACAAACCAGAAATCCTATAGTCTCTGGACAAAACTGGTCCCTCCAGCAAAATAGTCACAATACAAAGCAGCCACAATACATTCTTCCAGCACACAGTGCATCTCAAAACATGAATCATCATGAAGCAACATCTTTCTTCCAAGAAGGCGCACCATAAAGTTGAATGTGTGCAATTTTGCTTCTTTGTTTAAACAGGTAGCTTTACCTACCATTTCCATTTTATAGATATACTTAAGGTTTTGGAAAAGGAATTAATTATGACTAAAGGGAGGCTGGGACAAAGTATCTGATTCACTGCTCTGGTCAACTGCTGGTTAAAAACATAGTATACTATTTCATAACATAACCCACCCCACCATATAAAATATATTTTCATGTATAAAATTCCAAAGAAGGTGCAAATAGTAGGATCCAGCCCCAATATGCTGAGTTATGGAGGTGCACACACTGGATGGTCTGATGGAGTCTTGGTCTTGTTTCCTTCAGGGGGAACGTTGGTCACTAGGATACAGCTTTACCATCCAACGTCAGGGACAAAAAGCACGCTAGCCTAAGGAATAAGCAGATAACAAGTGTTAATATATTTCAAATGTAAATGCATTTTTTTAAGTCAGGAGGGTCTTTGAAGAAAATAGCCAAAACACTCCAGTTTTCACAGGTCTTGTTTATAATTTGCTTTTAATCCAGAATGCTTTGTGATTCTTTTTGTCTTCATTTAAGGTCTAAATTGTAATTGTAATTGTACGGATGGATATGTTGGAAGAAGCAACCTCCTCAAGCCTCCTCTATATGATGTTTGTCTGTTTTTTTGTAATGTGTCTTTTATAATCTGAAGTATGTCTTATTTGTAGTTTGCAGTTTCCTCATCTTTATATACTTAAAGCAGTGAGAGGGGCTGCAGGTCAAACGACTGACTAAGAGACAGTTTAGAATGTTCAGGTTTAAACCGGATGACAGTTAGGGAAAGTCGGTTGGAGGAATGACTGTTAGAGAAGTGTGTTCTGCCTTGAATGAGCTTGAGTATAGAAGTCTGTCAGAGTGCAGAAGCTTATGTTAGGAAGTTAGAAACTGTTGAGGCTTGTTTTATTTGAAAGTACTCTCTTATTAAAGAGAGCTGTATAAAGCAACATAGTTTATGAAGAAACTGTTAAAGATTATAAGTTCAAGATACAAACTCTCTGAAATGTTACTGAAGTTTTTAATCCTTGACAAGAAATATTCCTGTATCTTTAAATACATGAAGTTATCAGTAAACAAAACTTGTTATCTTTAAAAGAAGTCTGCTTGCATCGTTGTCTGCTGAAAGCATCAAACAGAAAACAAAATATCTACATGCCCAGTGATTATTCACTACCAAATAAACTCTGCTACCCTGATTATGTTGTGATTCTAACATTTAATGATCTATGGTCAGTGATCCTATAGCTTTGGTTTATTTTCAAGGGGTCTTGTGGAGCCCCCGGTGGCGCAGTGGGTTAAACCCCTGTGCCGGCAGGACTGAAGACCGACAGGTCACAGGTTCAAATCTGGGGAGAGGTGGATGAGCTCCCTCTATCAGCTCCAGCTCCTCATGCGGGGACATGAGAGAAGCCTCCCACAAGGATGATAAAACATCAAATCATCCGGGCGTCCCCTGGCAACGTCCTTGCAGATGGCCAATTCTCTCACACCAGAAGCGGCTTGCAGTTTCTCAAGTCGCTCCTGATGCAACAAAAAAAAGGGTCTTGTGAATGATGAGTTTAGGCCAGGGATAGGTAAATTATAGGCCCAGTGCTGCTTTTTCTGACTCCAGGCAGAAGATATTTGTCTAATGATGGTCATGCCAATTTTAATGAAGAAAAACTTCAGTCTAATGATGGGCATGCCAATGTTAATGAAGAAAAACTTCATTTAATAATAATAATAATAAAAAATTGAGAGCCAAATTGACAAAGAAAAAACATGGATGTGACTCACAAATGGAACTTTGAAAAAGGAGATGGAGGGACTGATTCTGGCAGCCCAAGAACAAGGCATTAGAACCAATGCCATCAAAGCCAGAATTGAAAAGTTAACAACAGATCCCAATAGTACTCTGCAAGGAAGCAGATGAAACAATAGATCACATCCTCAGCTGCTGCAAGAAGATCGCGCAGACAGACTATAAGCAGAGGCATAACACCATTGCTCAAATGATTCATTGGAACTTGTGCCACAAATTATTATTATTATTATTATTATTATTATTACTTTATTTGTACCCCGCTAGCATCTCCCAAGGGATTCGATACCATCTGCCTGCGACAAAGAATTGGTGGGATCATAAGCCTGAAAAAGTTACATAAAATGAACACGTCAAACTACTCTTGGACTTCCGAATTCAGGTTGACAGAGTTTTGGAGCACAATATTCCTGACCTCACGATCGTGTTAAAAAACAAAGTATGGACCGTTGATGTTGCAATCCCAGGCGACAGAAGGATTGAAGAGAAACAATTGGAAAATCTGACACAATATGAGGATTTAAAGATCGAACTGCAAAGACTTGGCACAAACCAGTAAAGGTGGTCCCAGTGGTGATCGGCACACAGGGTGTAATGCCTAAAGACCTTGGCCTGCACTTAAACACAATTGGCGCTGACAAAATTACCATCTGCCAGCTGCAAAAGGCCACCTTACTGGGATCTGCATACATTATTCGCCGATACATCACACAGTCCTAGACACTTGGGAAGTGTCCGACGTGTGATCCAATACAACAGCCAGCAGAGTGATCTTGTCTGCTGTGGACTCATCTTGTTGTGTTTCAAATAATAATAATAATAATAATCATCATCATCATCATCATCATCATCATCATCATCATCATCATCTGTCAACTGCAAAAGGCCACCTTACTTGGATCTGCGTGCATCATTCGAAAATACATCACACAGTCCTAGACGCTTAGGAAGTGTTCAACTTGTGATTTTGTGATACAAAACCCAGCATATAGATCTTGTTTGCTGTGACATACTGTGCTTTTGTGTCAGTTTAAATAATAATAATAATAATAATAATAATAATAATAATTTATCTGCCCCTCCCTGAGGCTCAAGAGACATATAATAAATCCTCATGTGCTTGAAGGCTTCACTATGAAGCTCCTTGCTTCATAGTCAAGGCTAACTTTGATCCCTGGCAAGGAGCAGCCTGAGATGCCACTCCAACACAGGTGGGGAAGGTAGCATTCCAGATCCTTTCCTTCAACAGAACCCCCGTCATGTCTGGCAGTCCCATGAGTCTACTGACCGATACTGTTGTGCATCATCTCTTTCTCCTGGAGGGCTGCCATGGCCAGGCGCAGGTGCTCCTTCAGCTGTTCAATTTCTCGCTCTGACCGCCGCTTGATGTGGTTCAACTCTGCGTAGACATCTTGGTATTTTCCTGATGCAAACCTCTTATCCTGAAGACAGTAAGGAAAGATTCAGCACTCTGGTGTTGGTACTTATTTTTGGACAAAAGGTGCCTGGATGGAATTGCCTTTTCTACAGCAGGGATGGAAAATGTGAACTTCCAACCAACCCACTGTTGAATGGCCACCTGAGTTGATGCAGACAATGGTGAGAGGAATTGCAGACCATCAACATCTAGAGGGCCACATCCTCTCAATGTACAATGGCATGGGATAAGAGGTGTATTAAAGTATCTTACAGATTTCCTTGTATTATTCCGAGTCAAGACTATTTGCTGATAAGCACAAATGTTAAGAGCATGATGTTTCCTGCAAACTGTAGTCCTTCCATCTTACAGCCCAGAAAACAAGACTATAAATGCAAGGTAGAGGCTGACTTTGAGTTGACAAGCTGACTGATGAAGCAGAAAGGAATTAAGATGCAGTTAGCATAAAAATGGATTCAAAGCACACTCTACGGCAATCAAAACAATATGCAAACAGCCCTCTTTATGCAAACCTCTAAGGCAGATGAGAATTCTGTGGATGCTGGATTCTCATGAGCCCCAAGCATTCTGACCTTCAATGATGGTTGTCTAATCCATCATTATTCAGAGTGCAAGAGATTTTGATGCCTACTTTACCAGAAAGACTCCATCTTTTCCCCTCCAATATGAAAAGATCTAACTGTTCCTCAGAATCTACCTTTTGCATCATTTGAATTTCCTCTCTAAGACACTGGACTTCTTGTTTCAGGTACTGGAGTTCATTTTCCTTCACTCGAAGCAGCACCTGCAAGAGGGAAGAAGAGGATGAGGCATTAAAATTACGACATCTGAGCACCTGCCAAAAGAGGTAAAAGGTAAATAGTTGTGTCCAACTCTGGGGGGTGGGGCTCATCTCCATTTCTAAGCCAATGAGCCGATATTGTCTATAGACACCTCCAAGGTCATATGGCCGGCATGACTGCATGGAGCGTTGTTGCCTTCTTGCCGGAGCAGTACCCATTGATCTACTCACATTTGCACGTTTACAAACTGCTAGGTTGGCAGAAACTGGGGCTAACAGTTGGAGCTCACCCCACTCCCCAGATTTGAACCGCCGACTTTTTGGTCAGCAATTTTCAACAGCTCCTTCCTAATCAGCATGGTCAGAGGTCATGTCAGTTTGGGATATTCAGAGTTTCTCAAGTAATGTTGAATCAGGGAAAAAGGAATCCAGTCTCACCTCTAGTTCACAAGAATTCCTCTCATTGTTGTGTGAAGAGCCATCACCCGAAGCCTGTGCTGTGATGAATGCCCGCAACTGTCCAATCTCCTCTGACAGTCGCCTCTGTAACTCCTGCAGACAGGGACAATAGTGAGCCTTGGTCTTGTACATTCAAGTCCATTTTTCTAACTTTTTCTAATGCTATCTCCAGCTTCAATTTAGCTCATGCTATTTTCCTGCCCTTTTATTTCAGAATCTTATGGATCCAAAACCTGACTCTCACGAAACATTTTTTTCTGCCAAAGCCATTCACAGTTGTAACTTTACATCATGTCAGATAAGAATCATGTGACATTAGTACAATTAAAAAAATCACATGTATTCAAGAATAGTCATAATCTCTTTCTTCCATATAAAGGCCTTCTTATTATTTTCTGTGCCACTATTCTTATTTATTATACATTTTGGTGCCTCGTATGTTGGATCACTTTCTAGGTATATTTGATCAGCTGATTCCAACAATGGCACCAGGTTTTCCCTATCAGCTCTAGTTTTTGAGATACGGAATGTATGCCATCTATTCGTCCTCATCTGCTTACCCACAGAAAATCAAGACAACCATATTTAAGAAACTAGAGCTCATGCAATCAATCGGATGCAATTTTCTGAATCAGCATCCCAAATAACCCACGGAACAGACCTAAAAACCCAGACACCAATAATTTCTTTTCTTGGGCTGTGTTATAATCACAGATAAGAAGTAAGGTAAAAGTAAAGGTTTTCCTTTGACAGTAAGTCTAGTCGTGTCCAACTGGAGGGTGGTGCTCATTTCCATTTAATAATAATAATAATAATAATAATAATAATAATAATAATAATCTTTATTTATAAACCCACCACCATCTCCCCAAAGGGAACTTGGGGTGGCTAACATGAGGCCAAACCCAGACTTAAATTACAATAAAATAAAATAAAATACAAACAACAAATAATAACATCAAAATAAAATACAGAAAATAACAGAAAATGAAACAAGTTAAACAGCTGACGTTGTCCATAGACGCCTCCAAGGTCATGTGGCTGGCATTACTGCGCAGAGTGCCTTTACCTTCCTGCCGGAGCGATACCTACCGATTTACTCACATTTGCATGTTTTCGAACTACTAGGTTGGCAGAAGCTGGGGCTAACAGTGGGAGCTCACCCCGCTCTCCAGATTCAAACCACTGACCTTTTGGTCAGCAATTCAGCGGTTTAACCGGCTGAGCCACTGGGGGCTCCAGATAATAATAATAATAATAATAATACTTTATTTATACCCCGCCACCATCTCCCCAAGGGACTTGGAGCGGCTTACATGAGGCCAAGCCCAACAGTACATCAATAAACAAAAGCAATAAACAAACAATAAATACAATACAATTAAAATAAGAAGTAATGTGTTATAGATATGAGTAAAAGTTATTATCTTTCATAACAAGGCCATAAAAAGTCACACTTCATACTAACAACATGTGTGAAAGTAGTGCCATATATTTTCTAATAACTTGAAAAGGGCACTGAAGGCTTTTTGACAGAATTTTTCCCTCAAATGTTAAAGAGTGAGATCATCCGGAGTTTCGGAGTGCGATGTCATCTGTATGCAGATGATGTCCAACTCTGTCACTCCTTTTCACCTGCTACTAAGGAGGCTGTCGAGGTCCTGAACCGGTGCTTGGCCGCTGTGACGGTCTGGATGGGGGCGAACAAATTGAAATTGAATCCAGACAAGACAGAGGTACTCCTGGTTAGTCGTAAGGCCGAACAGGGTATTGGATTACAGCCTGTGTTAGATGGGGTCGCACTCCCCCTGAAGACACAGGTTCGCAGTTTGGGGGTGATCCTGGATTCATCGCTGAGCCTGGAACCCCAGGTCTCGGCGGTGACCAGGGGAGCCTTCGCACAGTTAAAACTTGTGCGCCAACTGCGACCGTACCTTGGGAAGTCTGACTTAGCCACGGTAGTCCACGCTCTGGTTACATCCCGCCTTGATTACTGCAACGCTCTCTACGTGGGGTTGCCTTTGAAGACAGCCCGGAAGCTCCAGCTAGTCCAACGGGCGGCAGCCATGATACTAACAGGAGCGGGGCGCAGGGAGCACACAACTCCTCTGCTGCACCAGCTCCACTGGCTGCCGATATGCTACCGGGCTCAATTCAAAGTGCTGGCGTTGGCCTTTAAAGCCCTAAACGGTTCTGGCCCAACTTATCTATCCGAACGTATCTCGGCCTATCAGCCCACCAGGACCCTAAGATCTTCTGGGGAGGCCCTGCTCTCTATCCCGCCTGCTTCACAGGTGCGGCTGGCGGGGACGAGAGACAGGGCCTTTTCTGTGGTGGCCCCACGGCTATGGAACGCCCTCCCCATGGAGGTAAGATCAGCCCCCTCATGGATGGTTAGGAAGAGACTCAAAACATGGCTGTTCAAACAAGCATTCGGCTAATCTGTGGCAACTCGAATCCTGATGACTAAGGACAGAATACATGGACAACGAATTCTGGATTGTGATTACAACTCGAGATATATGGGATTATTATTGGTGGCCCAATAATTTGTTATTGTATGTGTATATGTTTTTAAATTGGAGATTGTTTTAATTGCTGTAAACCGCAATGAGTCGCCGATTTAGGCTGAGATATTAGCGGTATACAAGTATATCAAATAAATAAATAAATAAATAAATAAATAAAATCAAGCAATCTGACTTACTGCTTTAGTGCTGCAACAATTAACAGCAATGATTTGCTCTAAAAATGTTGGAAGGAATAGGAACTAAAAAGAGGGAAAGGAAATAAAAGCCATTTTCAGCTGTATTTCTGATAATCTTCAGCTGGATGGAAACTATTCTAGTGACTTGCACCAAAGGGTGCTTATACGCAACCATTCCCCTGTTTCTTTCCTTGGGAGTCCTAATGAGCCACTTGCCTGGTTTTGCCGTAGTAGTTCCTTTCCCTCTTGTTGGCAGCGCTGCAGCATGTGCTCCTGCTCTTCCGCCTTGTGCACGAGGTCCCCAATCTCCAGGCACTTCTGGGAATATTGCTCAGAAAGGACCTGCAGTTCCCGCTTCATGGCTTCTACATCAGACCTGCAGCAAAAGTTACCAGGAGAAGGTTCCACTCATTCCACTCCCTGATGCAAACACCATCTACTTCCATCATCCCACTTCTCCGTCAGACACTTTGTTAATTGAGTCGTGCCTGTGTAAAGAAGTAACCAGAGATGGGTTGTTGTAGGTTTTTTCGGGCTATATGGCCATGTTCTAGAGGCATTCTCTCCTGACGTTTCGCCTGCATCTATGGCAAACATCCTCAGAGATAGTGAGGTCTGTTGGAACTAGGAAAATGGGTTTATATATCTGTGGAATGACCAGGGTGGGACAAAGAACTCTTGTCTGCTGGAGCTAGGTGTGAATGTTTCAACTGACCACCTTGATTAGCATTTGATGGCCTAGCAGTGCCTAGGGCAATTCCCTCTATTCTGCCTTGGTTAGACCACACCTCGAATATTGTGTCCAATTCTGGGAACCACAATTCAAGAGAGATATTGACAAGCTGGAAAGTGTCCAGAAGAGGGTGACTAAAATGATCAAGGGTCTGGAGAACAAGCCCTATGAGGAGCGGCTTAAGGAGCTGGGCATGTTTAGCCTGAAGAAGAGAAGGCTGAGAGGAGACATGATAGCCATGTATAAATATGTGAGAGGAAGCCACAGGGAGGAGGGAGCAAGCTTGTTTTCTGCTTCCCTGGAGACTAGGACACGAAACAATGGCTTCAAACTACAAGAAAGGAGATTCCATCTGAACATGAGGAAGAACTTCCTGACTGTGAGAGCCTTCAGCAGTGGAACTCTCTGCCCCTGGAGTGTGGTGGAGGCTCCTTCTTTGGAAGCTTTTAAACAGAGGCTGGATGGCCATCTGTCAGGGGTGATTTGAATGCAATATTCCTGCTTCTTGGCAGGGGTTGGACTGGATGGCCCATGAGGTCTCTTCCAACTCTTTTATTCTATGATTCTATGAAATAGTAAAATTAACTTGAACCTTCTAAAAACATATTAAAATGAATAATTAACAAGCCAAAATAGTCTAAACCATGTTTTCACATAGAAATTGGGTGGAATTTTCAGGATCACTCATCTCTATTCAAGGGTCAGTATCCAATACCTGAAAGAAGTCAAATGGCCATCCCAGAATAGCTTACCGATGCTGTTGCTGGAGTATATCTGCATTTGAACCGCTCTTCTGGAAACTGCGTGTTCTGCTCAGCTCTTTATTCAGTTCATCTCTGTGTGCCTTTTTCAGTGCTTCAATAGCTGCAAGAATAGGATAAAAAAGGAGAGAAAGGAAGAAGTGAAGAGGAAAAGATGGAAGGAAGGCCTATGACATTTGCTAAATTGGGAATGCATAGTCTCCTTTACAGCTTCCTAACTACCTGAGGAATCTAGGGTTCCTTGCTGTGTGGGGGGAGATGACAATTTAACCAAGCACACATGGTTTCTGTGTACACATGATCCCAGCTTCAGCTCTTGGCATCTTCAGGTGAAAGGATCAAGTAGCAGGAGACAAGAAAGGCCTTCTATGAGAAGCCTTGGACAACTGCCGCCAGTCGGAACAAACAACAATAGTCTAAATGGGCCAATGGCCTAGATAGGACAGTTTCCAGTGCTGTGGTGGACCAAACAACTGGTTCTATATATCACAAAGACATACGTAATGACCGGCATATATCTACATATATGGAGCCCCTGGTGGTTAAACCCTTGTGCGGTCAGGACTGAAGACCGATAGGTCACAGGTACAATCCGGGGAGAGTGTGGATGAGCTCCTTCTGTCAGCTTCAGCTCCTCATGCGGGGACATGAAAGAAGCCTCCCACAGGATGGTAAAACATCAAACATCCAGGCATCCCCTGGGCAATGTCCTTGCAAATGGCCAATTCTCTAACACCAAAAGCGACTTGCAGGAGAGCCCTCGCCCCTAGTGCATTAGAAGATGGATTGCCAAAAATGTATAGTGCAGAAGCAAAGAAAATCATCTGTGAGAATTTCATAGTCATATTAGTTTTTTAAAAAATCTACATACAATCTACAATGTGTATGTATTCATTTGGTCTGTGTGAATGTACAAATGTGTATACTTGAGTAGGGAATATGCAACACTCCAGATGTTCCTGCACTAAATTCCACTATTATTTATATTTATTATTTGCCATATTTATATCTCTCCCTTCTCAAACCCCAAAGGGGACTCAGAGCAGTGCACATAGAGGCACAATTTGATGTCATATATTACATACAATATATATCCAGCATATAGAATTATACTTTACAACATTCACTAAAAACATACCAATATTAAAATTATTAAAATCACATAGTCCAATATTGTAGTCCAGGCCATTCCAATTATCATTGCACCATTCCATGTTCACATATTGCACTACTCAATTATCCAAACGCTTGGTCCCACATCCAAGTTTTCTGTTTTTTTCCTAAAGGTCAGGAGGGAGGGGGCTAATCTGATGTCACTGGGAAGGGAGTTCCACAGCTAAGGGGCCACCACAGAGAAGGCCCTGTCTCTCGTCCCCACCAGTCGTGCTTGCGAAGGAGGTGGGACTGAGAGCAGGGCCTCCCCAGAAGATCTAAACTCTCATTGACCCTATCCCATCAATCCATGATGAAATCAGGGTTGATAGGAACTACAGTCCACACATATCTGGAGAATTATACATCCATTACTGCTAATACACCACAGAAACATATCAAATCACTGGGTTGTTGTAGGTTTTTGGGGGCTTTGTGGCCATTTTCTAGAAGCATTCTCTCCTGGCATTTTGCCTGCATCTATGGCAGACATCCTCAAAGGTTGTGAGATCTCACAACCTCTGAGGATGTCCACCATAGTTGCAAGCAAAATGTCAGGTGAGAATGCTTCTAGAACATGGCCATATAGCCCGAAAAACCTACAACAACCCAGTGACTCTGGTCATGAAAGCCTTCGACAATACATATCAAATAATGTATGTCAGAATTTTGTGTGTAGTGAATGTACACAAAATTAAATATAATTATATTACATATTATACACATCTAACAGTGATACACCCATGTTGCTGTTGTTCATTTGTTCAGTCGTCTCCGACTCTTCGTGACCTCATGGACCACCCCACGCCAGAGCTCCCTGTCGGCCGTCACCACCCCCAGCTCCTTCAAGGTCAGTCCAGTCACTTCAAGGATGCCATCCATCCATCTTGCCCTTGGTCAGCCCCTCTTCCTTTTGCCTTCCACTTTCCCCAGCATAATTGTCTTCTCTAGGCTTTCCTGTCTCCTCATGATGTGGCCAAAGTACTTCAACTTTGTCTCTAGTATCTTTCCCTCCAGTGAGCAGTCGGGCTTATAAAAGAAGTGTACAGCATGTGAACTGCCTTTGTAATTTTCAAGCAACCCCATAAAGTGGGGCTAAGCTGTGAGAGGTTGATTGGCCTCCAATATCACTCTGTATGGAATCTGAATCCAGATCTCCCCATGTCCTCATCTGCCACATAAACACTACACCACACCAGGCCATGCTGACAAGACTTCCTAACCAGAAGATATGTCTTTCAGCTCAAGATTTAGTTTTTTAAAAAGAGATGTTCAAGGAAAGGAGGATGCGTCTACCTGCAGCAGTGGCAGACGCCTCCTCTGACAGAAGTCGCTGTTTCTCCAGCTGTAACCGCTCCATTTCGCGCTGATGGTGCCGCTGCATCTCTGTCATGACTTGTTGGTGGGACGTTTCCATCTCAGCTAAACTGCGTTCACAGGCCTCCTAACCATGTACGTTTGAGAAGACAGCAGGAAAAAAGAAAAAAAAGGTGTTCAATAAGATACCAGGAGAAGAGAAAGAAAGGAGCATGATAAATTGGCTGGCACCTGACTTGTTAGTTTTAGAAGGCGAGACTAAAAGGAACTGGAGAACCATAGCTGGTTTTGCACTTTAGACGTATCATAAAAAGATATGACTCACTAAAAAAGACAATACAGTAGTGCTTAAAGTAGAAGGCAGCAGAAAAAGAGGAAGAGCACTCAATCAGAGAAGCAATGGCCACAAGTCTTAAGATTTGAGCAGGGATGTTGACAACAGGCTAAGATAGAGATCTCTCATTCAAAGGGTCACCATGAGTTGGCATAGCCTTGATGGCAGTTAGTATCATTTCCCTCTCAATTGCTGTATTCCTGTTTGCCATATGAGGGCACACGAGAGTAAAGAATCTCAGAACAGGAATTCCTTGCATTATTATTTATGGAAAAGCAGCGTTCCCCAACCTGATGTCTGCTCTAGCTGTTCTGAACCACAAATCCCCCCCACTCCAAACCATTCATCTTCCAGTTAGGGTTTATGGAATTCTAGAAAAAATAATCTAGAGAAGCCTGGGTTGTGAAAGGTAAACCAAACAATTCTATAAGGACTAATTGACCGAACCATATCTCCAAAGAGGAAACCTGTTAAAAACAAAACAGTTTTTTAACAAAGACTTTCCTGGTTTTTCTCTCTCCAAAACCCATTTTTGGCAGTCTGTGCAAGTTACCCACCTCAGGTTAGAGCAGTGTTTCTCAAGCTAAAGGTTGGGACCTCTAGGGAGGTCACGAGGGGTTTTTCAGAGGTGTTGCCAAAGACCATCAGAAAACACATATTTTCTGATGGTCTTAGGAACCCCTTTGGCAGAGAAGACTGAAGATCTCTTAATCTATCTCCTCTTCCTTTTTGGAAATGGAAGGTGAATCCTTCCACCAAAAGCCCTCCTCCTGCTGTGATTGACTGGCCTCTCAGCCAAGGAGAGGGCTGTTTCTGAGACTCCAAGTGGGGAGGGGAGAGCAGGTGTACTCTCCCCTAAATCACTGTCAATTCCTCCCAAATCATTCCAGCATTTTCTCTTGTTCATGTGGATTCTGTGTTGGAAGTCTGGCTCAATTCTATCATTGGTAGAGTTCAAGGGACTTTTTGATTGTAGGTGAACTATAAATCCCAGCAACTACAACTCCCAAATGTTGAAGTCTATTTTCCCCAGACTCCACTAGTGTTCAAATTTGGGCATATTGAGTATTTGTGCCATGTTTGGTCCAGATCTGTCATTGTTTGAGTCCACCTAGATATAGTCCACTTAGATATAGGTGAACTACAACTCCAAAACTCAAAACCAAACCCTTACAGTATTTTCTGTTGGGAGTTCTGTGGGAATTCTGTGTGCCAAGTTTGGTTCAATTCCATTGTTGGTGGGCTTCAGAATGCTCTCTGATTGTAGGGTGAACTGTAAATCCAGCAACTCCCAAAAAACAAAATCAACCCCCCCCCCCCACCCCACCAGTATTCAAATTTGGGCATATTGGGTATTTGTGCCAAATTTGGTCCAGTGAATGAAAATAAATCCTGCATATTTACATTAAGATTCATAACAGTAGCAAAATTACAGTTATGAAGTAGCAACAAAAATAATTTTATGGTTGAGGGTCACCACAACATGAGGAGCTGTATTAAGGGGTTTTGGTATTAGGAAGGTTGAGAACCACTGGTCTAGAGATCAACCCTGCTTTTGCTATTACACTAAGTGACATTAAGTTTTGCATAGGCCTCTGGTGCTTCTAATCAAATGGTAGTTTAGGTATGATCCAGTTAATTTCTAGGATTTCCAGTATGAAGAGGTTGTCATTTCTTGTTTTAGTGCTACACCCAAATACAGTAAAACTAAAGGATCCTTGACTATGTCAAGGCAGTAATGAGACAAATAATGATACAGTATATATGATTCTAGACTAAGTTAACTTGTATAAAGAAAAGCTTTCACCCATTCACTGCGTGACTGCTATCACATGACAATGTGCTTCAGAGTAAAAAACCAACAAATTACAAGAGGCAATCTTAGCGTTTGTTTGAGCAACACATTTGGCAATAGGGAAAGTTACTTGGTTCATGCAGGCCAATAAGTTCTGGCAACTGTAGTCCAAATAAATTATCCAAGATCTGGCTCTTATGCTCCTTACTCTCAGATTTCATTAACACTAACTGTTTCTTAAACATGAAAAAAATCAATAAAACCAAAACAAAATTAGCCTTCTTATGTAATGCAGACACTTTTCTGCCAGCAGTTCTGATAAGCAATTCTAGGAGATTACTCTTGTATTCCAAAAAGACACAAATTTAGATTTCAGGCAACTGCTGACCAAAAGTCATTTGCAACCTGGAGAGCAATTTCCTGACAAAGGATAAATGTTGTCCCAGAGCTGTGTTGTGACTCTTCTTGACTTCTGGTGTGAATCCACTCTTTCACGGATGGTCTCCACATCATCCCTTGCCTTGCCCCAAACAATCTGTCTGTCAGTCTCTTGCGTAAGTTAAGCAACAATGTCCTGCTAAGAACAGCTTTCCAGACTTTGATCATGGCACTCTGACACACATAATATGCCGGTAAAAGTGTGCACAGACAAGTCATTTCCTTTACGGACAGGAAGGCACTCAGGCTGCTTTTGTGACAAACTGCAGTGATGTTTATTTGAACACCAATCACAGACAATTTCAGACAAAATGGAAATTATTTTACCAGGAAAGGGCAAGAAGGGGACCCACTCACTCTTTTCCCCAGTAGCTTCACGCTGGGGGTGGACTGCTCATATAAGAATCATGTAGTAGCACATAGCGTATCTCTTTCTGAATTTTTCCAGTAACTAGCTGGTCAATTACTTTTCAATAGCAACAAGAGAGGTTGTGGAATAGAGAAATAACTGGGAAAAAATGTCACTCAAACACACTGTACTTGAAACTAAATAAACAACAACAGTGACCTGGACCCTTTTCACCAAACACAGAAGTGTATGAATTCCATCTGCGGCCTACTATCTAGTTAGTATTTGCTCACAGTTATAAAAGGCAATTAAGTTCCAAAGGAATAACTGAATGTTTGAGCTGGATAAACGTTCTAATTCTATTATTGGCCTAGTAAGGATTCTTAAAAGGGAGCTCCCGGTGGCACAGTGGGTTAAACCACTGAGCTGCTGAACTTGCTGACTGAAAGGTCGTCAGTTCGAATCCAGGGAGCAGGTGAGCTCCCACTGTTAGCTCCAGTTTATGCGAACTTAGCAGTTCCAAAACATGCAAATGTGAGTAGATCAATAGGTACCACTCCGGCAGCAAGTTAACGGCATACCAGCTACATGACCCTGGAGGCATCTATTGACAACGCTGACTCTTTGGCTTAGAAATGGAGATGTGCTGGACACGAGTTGGACATGACTGAACTTAATGCCAGGGGAAAACTTTTACCTTTACTAAAGATTCTAAAATTCAAGCAGCAACTATAGAAAAACCTAAGAGAAAACCTCCAGCAAGTAAGTGACCGATTAGGTCTTGCTCCACTCTCATTACTGGGAACCACCAACTCATGGGACTCAGCCAGACTGCAAGGGGTCTGGATTTGATCCACCAAGTATCTAGGGTTTCTTCCCTCTCCAAAGTTTGTTCTCCCAACTCCCTGATCTGCTTAGAATCTACCCCACGTTGCAAAATCATGTTGCTTGAGTTCCCAATGGAGAATACAAATGGGAAGAAAGAATCATGATGTTATTATTAGTGAGAGATCAAGGATTACAGTAGGACCCCCCTCCTTCATCAACTGAGGCAATGTTAATTCCTCCTCCATGTCAGAGAAATTGGAGAGATTTCTTTGCATTCCCAAGAAGTGGAAGGAATCTCACAGATATCTTTGGTCTGGTTGTAAGTGAAGCAGAGGAGGCCTGATTATCTATGATCAGAAATATAAGTGACAGAGAGAGAGAGACGCAGAGGAGAACATAGTATCAGGAAAGAAGTGATCCTGGATGGCAGCGGGTAAAGAGTGAGGCTTAAGATGAGGCACGGAGTCTGATGAGATTATCTAGTTTCCACCTCCAGGAACCAAAACAATTTCACCTGTTATTCTGAAATACACGTGAAACCTTAGCTATTTTTTCTGTTTACAACAGGAAGTAGCAGGAAACTATAAAACTTATTTTGGGGTCGTCACAGAGGACCTCAAAACAGTGCCCTTCCATACCCCAAAAGCTGGGTCTGGGGCTTACAAAAGTAATCCTGGAACCACATGTGGCCACACATTCTCCATTCTCTAATCAATATTGAAAGTTGCCCTACCTCCCATCTCAACAGGAAACTACGCTAGGTACTATTTTGTCTTCTGATTTTTTTCCCAAAGCTTTGGTCATGTGCTAAGTGGGAAGACCCTTGCATTCAGCAGTGAAACATTATTTCCTCCTGCACCTAAAATGGCACAGGGACTTGAAAACGTGGCTCCCATGCAGCTTACAGGAGCAAATTGCAAACAGCGCAGGCTGTTGCCATAGCAGTTAATACGAAATCATTAGAGAATACCTATGCAATATTAAAGGTCCCAGGATCGAGCCCTCTTTGTTCTGGGTGTTAAATTTGTACTTTGAGGCAAAGGAGTGGGGCTGTTTTAACTGAATAACAGAAGGTACTATTTTGTCTTCTGATTATTTTTTCTTCAAAGCTTTGGCCATGTGCTAAGTGGGAAGACCCATGCATTCGGCAGTGAAACATAATTAATATTGATTACAGATGTGTCTGATGTGTGGTTGCTATGGCAGCAATATCTATGCAGTACAAGCAAATCCCAACGTATGGCTGGGGGGGAATTGCGGTGGGAACAGGAAAATAGAGAAACAGAACAAGAAAGAGGATACTGGATGATGCCATTACCTGAGAGATGTAGCCTCGAGGAACCTGCCCGTCTTTGTGAGATTTTGCCACATTATGGGCACGAAATGACTCCAGTTGTGACCTCAGGACCTGAACCTATGCCAGGAGAAAATAAAGGTTTAACCACACTGAAGGAGAAAGCAAAAGCCACTGAATTTCAATCAACCTGCTGCATCCTGTCTAGACAAGAGAGAGCACAAGCACACTCATCATTGCTTCCCCTATCCAAATACTGGAAAGCCAGCATAATATAGTGGCTGAAGCATTGGACCGGGATGTGAGGGATGTCATATAGCCACAGAGTCATGAACCTTACTGAGTGATGTTCTGCCCTACCTCATAGGATTGTTGTTGAGAAAGCCATATACGAAATCCTTAGCTCGTGGGGAAAGGGTGACATATGTGTGTGTGTGTGTGTATGTAAGCACCCTTAAATTGCTTATTGACAACGTGACTATTGATTTTATAAGGCTTTCTTAAGCAAGAAATACTTGGAGGTGGTTTTGTCAATTCCCTTCCCTTAAATATAGCCTAAGTACCTGGTATTCACTGGCAGTATCTCATCCAAGTACTAAGAAGGGCTGACTCTCATTAGTTTCCAAGGATCTGGTGGTGCCTTTAGGGCAGGGGTTCCCAACCTATTTTTGACCAGCAACCACTTTGAACAGGGACCACTTTCTAACATTAGTACCAAAAGCGTTACGAATCAGTTCTTGGTCAACTTTAGATTTGGTTTAGTTATTTGGGGTGCTGAGTCAGAAAACTGCATTGGATAGACCACAACAGCTCTAGTTTCTGATACAGAACACATGCCATCTAGTAGTCGCTATCTGATCGCCTACAGAAAACCATATTGGCACTATAAGAGGGTTTCACGAGATCAGTCGCTCTCGTTGCAATGGTGTAGTAATGGTGAGATTGCTGATCATATTTTAGTTACTGTGGATCATTGGTGGTCCATGGACCACAGGTAGGAAACCACTGCTTTAGGGTATTTTGGTTGGAATATATAAATAAGTAGCAATTCATGCTGATCCAATGTTACACCCATTTAGAAAGTCAATTTTTAAAAAAGTTTTAATGTTCCAAGTCTCATACAACTGACAATAGAAGTCAAGCAGCGTTGTGTAAATCACTATATATACTGATGGTGTTATATTATGTTGACTCTGCAAATCCTGAAAAATCCTACAAATCTCTTGGGAAGACAGGTGGACAAATGTCAGCGTGTTAGAAGAAACAAAAACCAACAGCACTGAAGTGATGCTCCTATGCCATCAACTCTGCTGGATTGGCCACGTTGTCTGAATGCCCGATCACAATCTCCCAAAGCAGTTACTATACTACCAACTCAAGAACGGAAAACAGAATGTTGGTGGACAGGAAAAGACATTTGAAGATGGGCTTAAAGCTAACATTAAAAACGGTGGCATAGACATGGAGAACTGAGAAGCCCTGTCTCTTGAGCACCCTAACTGGAGGTCAGCTGTGACCAGCAGTGCTGCGGAACTCGAAGAGGCATGAATGGAGGGAGAAATGTGCCAAGAGGAAGGCGCATCAAGCTAACCCTGACTGGAACCTCCTTCTACCTGAAAACCAATATCCTCACTGTGGAAGAACATGAGGATCAGGAATAGGGCTCCACAGTCTCCTACATACCAGCCGTCAAGACACTACACTTGGAAGGCCATCATACTCTGAGAACGAGGGATCGCCTAACTAACTATTATGATGATTAGCCATTTTAGCCACCACTGGTAAGTCAGTGAAAATGCTTAAAATAACGTTGGGTTTACAAAAGGTAGTAGCATTCAAAACTAAATTATTGCTGAGAATAATCAGCTGCAACATACACTGAGCAAGATAGGTAATGAACACTTTTCAGGTATCACAGTACATTCACAGAATGATTGAAACATAGAAGCATTCCCAATTCTCTTTATGAAGATCATGAAAAAAAAAAGGGGGTTGAACTCATAAACAAAGGATAAATATAGTCCCATGGTAGAAAAAGTTCCTATGAACATGACATAAGCAAGGCATTGCCCATTTTTGCCCTTCCAAGATTTCTTTCATCCATGATAATGTGTGCCCAAATCAAAAGTTTGGTTTAATACCTCTATTAGGGTTCATTATAGGGAAAGAACCCTGTGGCCCAAATGCCCCCCCCCCCCCCCCGGTGATTTTTTTAAAGCTTGAGCCCATCCCAGATCCACTCTCAGGATTTCCAAGTTTGTATTTTTAATGTATTTTTGCTTTGTTTTGGGATTCTGTGGGTGGAACAATGGATTAAAATTGCAGGAAAAAATAATGTAATACCTATGCTACAATCTATGCAAGTTTTATTAAAATTCATTCATTTTTTGTATTTTTTATAAAATCCTGTAACCTTACTTTTTGGATAACCCTTGTACTATTCTATCCTACCTCTTTCTCCAGAGCTTCATTTTTCTCCCCTTGGTTTCCTTTGCCTTGGTTCAGCAATGCCATCAGTGGGATCCGCTTGGAGTCCTTCAGGGGGAGGCGCTCTAGCTCCTGCCACTTCTTCTCAATCTCTTCACTCAGCCGACCCTTCTGAGCCTCTGAGAGAGCAGGGCCTGGGGGTTCCTGCCCCTTTTGGGAGATATCCCCTGCCGGACCATCTGTCTGCAAGACCCCACTGGCTGGAGACTCAAACCATTTCCGCCTTTCCTCCCAGCGCAAGGCCAGGTCCCGCTCCAGGTCCTCGCGTTTGCCAACTCCAGCTTCCGTTGCTCTTGCGCTCCCTCTTGTTCGCTGGGGGGACCCATGGCTCAGCTGGGACCCTTGCTGCAAGGGGGACAATTCCACGTAGTCAAAGGAATGGTGCTGCACATCTGCTTTCCTGTGGCTGCCCCTGCTTATGGCCTCAGATCCTACGCTGGGCCGCTGCTCCTCAGGCCGGATGGAGCTCTTGGGGGAACTGTAGCCACGGAAGGAGTTCTCCTTATTGCAGTCAGATAGCCTAGAAGCAGGAGGAAAGACGTGCAGAGGGTAAGATATTCTGTAGGCAGGGACTGGGACAGTTGCCTACACATGTTTTTCCAARACCAATGTGTGATCACACRCAGTTCTGGGAGGTATCCCAGTACAGTATGTCTTGCTGTATTATTTATTTATTTACTGTATTTATATGCCTCCTTTCTCACCCCTGGGGGGGGGGGGGACTCAAACCAGTTTACAACATACTAATGGCATAATTCAATGCCAAACATACATGTAAAAACCAAATCATAATATGTAAACAGTAACTTATAACTATGAGTTAAAATCATTAAGACCATTAAACATAAGACATAACCAACATTCAAATATTAAGACATAGAATTAAAACATCCTAGTATAAACATTAAAATCACATGATCCATTTCAATTGTCAATTGCTCATATTCCCTATTTATTTCTTGCACTGCATTATTTATTCATTTAGGGCTTTTATATCCTGCCCTATCTCAACTTCCACAGAGGGACTCAGGACGGCTAACAAATTGGCACCCATGGCGCCCACATCAAAACATGAATATACAATTTAACAACAATATAATAAAACAGTAATATAAGCAGTATAAACAGTATAAAACCATATGAACAATATAAAAGCAGTATAAAAACAGACAACCAACAGTCAACAAACATTACATTACTGGCCAAAGGCTTGATCCCTTCTTTCTGAAGGCCAAGAGAGAGGGGGACTGATTTAATCTCACCAGGGAGAGAGTTCCAGAGCCAAGGAGCCACCACTGAGAAGGCCCTGTCTCTCATCCCTACCAACCATGCCTACAAAGGAGGTGGGACCGAGAGCAGGGCCTCCCCAGAAGATCCTAACCTCATGTTTTGATGAACACAGAGTACATTCTTAAGCAAATCCAAGTCTGAAAGGGTTTTTTGCATTAAAACTCCCGAATCACCCAGTAAGCATTGCCACTGCATCTGGAAATATAGCACAGCCAAACACACAAGTCTTACTCAGCATATGAATAGGAAGCTAGGTTCACCTCTTATCTGTTTATCCAGGTCTTTGAAGCTTTAACTGTATAGCATTTTTTTAAAAAAAATAAGTGCTTGTATTATTACTATTACAAATACCTTTCACATTTACTTTTGTTGTTGTGTGCCTTCAAGTCATTTTCCTTATCTGTTTATCCAGGCCTTTGAGGCTTTAACTGTGTAGCATTGTTTTTTTTAAGTGTTTATATTATTACTATTATAAATGCCTTTTACATTTACTTTTGCTGTTGTGTGCCTTCAAGTCATTTCTGACTTTCAGGAACTCTGTACAAAAACTTATTACTGGTTTTGGTTGGCAAGATTATTCAGAGGGGGTTTGTCATTGCCTTCCTCTGAGGCTGAGAGAGGGAGTCTTTCCCAAGGCCTCCCGGTGAGAAGGGACTTGAACCTAGACCTCCCAGGATCCTAGTCCAGCACTCAAGCCACTACATAAAGATGATGATGATGATTATTATTACATCATGTTATAATAAGTTTATGTTTTAATGTACCATCAACGGTTTTGATTATATTTGGTTGTAAGTTGCATTTAGTATAATTCTGGAGGATAAGAATTAAATAAATAAGAGTTAAAAATAGGAAAGGTTTGACATGAAAAGGATCACAATGTTATAATTATGGGATTTCTAACCAATTATTTGGAGAAAATGTCTGGGGGTTATGTAGAGGCATTTTGAGGCACAGAAATAAAACAAAGACTTCTGGATAGGTGGTGGCCTTGGGAGGCTCAAATATGGCCTTGAGAGCAGCTGAGCATAGTTTGCCAGCCACATTTTACCCATCCCTTTCGCACAGCATGGTCTACTCAGTGTGTCTCAAGCTAAGACACAAAAGCTGATTTATTCAAGATATAAAAATCTTGCCAAAAATATGTACACTGCCTTTCAGTAAATTGCACACCACCTTGAACTTAATTTGATTGAAGACTTATGCCCCATGTTGTAAACAAATCAATATGGCTTGCACAATCTTAGTAGAGAGTTTGGAAATGTTACAGTGCCTGCTGGCTATGTTGGCTAGAAGATTCTGGAAACTCTAGTGCCAAAAGGTTACTCTCCCCAGCTTTGTAAAATACTAAAAGCAATCTCCTGAGGAGAAAAATGTTTTAGACTCTTAGTGACACAGTTCCTGCAGCAATCTGGGAGCATACAGTGAGCTACAGAGAAATAAGAGAGAATGAGCTTGGAATGAATAGTGTAGTGCTTTCCACTGAAGTTTGTAAGAAAACTCAATGACCAAATCAAGAAAGCATGAGGAAATGTTCTCAGGGCACATACTTTGTCACATCTGGCACGCTGGTAGGGCGTATACTTTTCCTCAGAGCCTCAATCCAATTCCGGCGGATTCCTGATGTCATCGCAGATAACGTGAAGACACCATCTTTAGTCTGAAAGGTAAACATCACATGTGAGTTGGTTATATAGCTCGATCAGCTACACGTTTTGTCTACATTGCAGGAAATAGGTCTGATAGCAATGGTGCAAACCAGCATATGACACTGAATCCTACAAATACAGCTAGCAAATATTTGCAATTGACACTGTTCTAAAATGTATGTTATGAATAATGATTTGCATCCTGACAACTTTTGAAATGTACATAAAGCCAAGCAATGTACTTCCATATAAACAAGTGGTGCAGAAGCTTTGGCTTACACGATGTTTTGGAATATAAATTACACAATATCTTATTATTGGCCATGCTTAGTGGTGTTGATGGTAGTAACAGGTGAAGGAATCTAAAAGTAAAGGTAAAAGGTTTCCCCTTGACATTAAGTCTAGTTGTGTCCGACTCTGGGGGGTGGTGCTCATCTCCATTTCTAAGCCGAAGAGCCAGTGTTGTCCGTAGACACCTCCTATGTCATGTAGCTATCATGACTGCATGGAGTGCCGTTACCTTCCCACAGAAGTGGTACCTATTGATCTACTCACATTTGCATGTTTTCAAACTGCTAGGTTGGCAGAAGCTGAGGCTAACAGCAGGAGCTCAGGGACGATGGGAAGTGTAGTCCGTATCATGTGGAGGACCAAGGATATCTATCTTGCTACATATTATATCTTGAAGAAAATAGTATTTGTAGTGAATGCTATACTCTGARCAAATGTCAACAGCTGTCCAATGCAATAGAAAGGGTTAATTTGCATTGCTGACTCTGTTTGATAACAATTTGCATCAGCTCYGCAGTTTGAGGCTGGGAAAAGATATGACCACTGGGAACAGATTGGGGGAGTGAAATWTMTTTTTTACTAACATGACTACAAAGTTCTCASAGATAATTTTCTTTGRTTKTGCACTATACATTTTSGCAATCTATCTTCCATTGCTTTCACATAGGAGCGAGGYCTCTCCYTTTAGCTAGCCAATMATTTTTTTTCATGTCAGYAGRGACTTGYGAAACTGCAAGTCGCTTCTGGTGTGAYAGAATTGGCCYTCTGCAAGGACATTGTCCAGGGGATAATGTCCTTGATTGTAGGTTAACTATAAATCCTTTGATTGTAGGTTAACTATAAATCCTGTGAGAGGCTTCTCTCATGTCCCCGCATGAGAAGCAGGAGCTGACATATGGGAGCTCACCCACTCCATCGGTTTGAATTGCCAACCTTTCAGCCAGCAGTTCTGCCAACACAAGGGATTAACCCACTTCACCACTGGGGGCTCAAGCCATGGATTGGATTGCCAGCCATGGCTTGTCTAGGTAGAATTAGTTGTTGGTCCCAGTCCTACAATAAAGCTCAGCTAAGATCAGTAAAGTGTTTGGCACTAAATGAACTCCTCTGGATGCCTAAAATCTACACCAAGTTACAAAAACAGAAAAAGTTTCAAAAAGAAAGGTCTCATGGTCACAGCCATGTATGTGAGAACAACATCAACAAGCATAGTGTGTCCCCTATCTTTGACTTTGTCTGATTACGAAGGTGGGAGTGCCATCTTTTTTAATGCCATCTCCAGTGCTTTAGTTCTGGACGCTGCAGGTCTGACAAGCCACTGGTTCCATGCCCACACCTGAAGATGCTATGCACTCACATGTATCTGGAAGCCATAGTTCCGCTGCACTGCATACTCCGTCACGTCGGTGCAAGAGCGCAGGTCAATCTCCCCATCCAGGTCATCTGCCTGAAATTAACTCCAAACCATAAGGAACTAAACTCGTAGAGTAATATCACTGCTAACCCCTCAATGCTGGCCTTAACCAAAGCTGAGAAAAGTCAATTCTGTGTACTACTACTCCCAGAAACTAGCTCAAAAGAATAACTTGATAATACCAAGGCTGGTAAAACAACTGTGGACAAAACACAGTTCTGAAGGCTGTTTTTGCAGCTCTCAACCTCTTAAGGTTCCCTTTTGGAGAACCAAAAATGAAACGAAACAAAAAGGATAAACAGCCAATTCAGGATATCATCCAAAACTAGAAATTCACTTTTTAGGTAGACTGGAGATCACCTATATCAGCGTTTCTCAAAAATATTGAGTATTTATGCCAAATTTGGTTCAGTGAATGAAAATACATCCTGCATAGCAGATCTTTACATTACGATTCATAACAGTAGCAAAATTTACAGTTATGAAGTGCCAATGAAAATAATGTTATATTTGGGGATCACCACAACATGAACTATATTAAGGGGTTGCGGCATTAGGAAGGTTGAGAACCACTGAACTACCCCCCCCCCTAATATATATATACAGTATTTATACACACACACATTTAAAAAGTAGATTTTCGCTTTATTTATTTTTCTTTGTCAGTATGTTTGGCAGTCCCTGGAGAGAAACTGACTCCTATATATTTTTTCACTCCTTTAAACAAACAGAACTACTTTTCTTGGATATTTTTTTGCCAAGTTAAAGCTGACTTGGCTAAGACCAAACACGACATGTGGTCATGATAGTCTTCACTGTTTCCTTCCTGCCTTGCTCTTCTATTCATTTGCTGCCTAAGTAATCACACACAATAATCTTGCCATACTTTACGACTTGCCTCACATTTATTCTCTCAGCAGGTACCTGACTATTCTGGCAGGAAAGATCAGGATGCTGTTTCCTTACCTCTTCAGCATTGGAGTCCCTGTAATATCTCAAGCTTGAGTCTGTCAGCACAAACCAGTGCTTCGTCCACTGCAGACAGGATGGATCATTGTGGGAAGGGAAAGGAAAGGGCAAGACAAGAGGGAAGAGCGGCATTAAAGAGTCTACGCAAGCACAATGCAATCACTGACCTTTCAGATTTATTCCCCCAGAAAAGAAAATGAAGTCAAGGCCAGGCCTGGCAGCTCCATTTTTTCCTCAGGAGAAATCTCACTTCCCGTTTATTGAATGCAATATAGACAGAGTTTGGGCAGGAAGTATTCAAGGGGGACTGCAGAATACACAATACATGCTGGGTAAAAAAGCACTACCGTTTCTTTGCTGGTGAATAAACCCTTCCGATGTTCTCCGCTACAATTGATCCTATTTATTCTAAAACACTCTAGAACAGCGTTTCTCAACCTGGGGTTCAGGATCCCTGGGGGCGGGTGTCAAAGGGGTAATCAAAAACCATCAGAAAACACAGTATTTTCTGTTAGCAATGGGGTTCTGCGTAGGAAGTTTGGCCCAATTCTATCTTTGGTGGGGTTCAAAATGCTCTTTGATTGTACATGAACGACAAATCCCAACTATAACTCCCAAATGTCAAGGTCTATTTTCCCCAAACTCCACCTGTGTTCACATTTGGGCATATTGAGTATTCATGCCAAGTTTGGTCCAGATCCTTCATTGTTTGAGTCCACAGTGCTCTCTGGATGTAGGTGAACTACAACTCCAAAACTCAAGCTCAATGCCCACCAAATCCTTCCAGTATTTTCTGTTGATCATAGGAGTTTCGTGTGTCAAGACTGTTTCAATTCCATCATTGATGGAGTTCAGAATGCTCTTTGATTGTAGGTTAACTATAAATCCCAGCAACTACAACTCCCAAATGACAGAATCAATCCCTGCCAACCCCAGGAGTATACACATTTGGGTGTATGGGATATTTGTGCCAAATTGTGTCCAGTGAATGAAAATACATCCTGCATATCAGATATTTACATTACAAGTCACAACAGTAGCAAAATTATAGTTATGAAGTAGCAACAAAAACAATTTTATGGTTGGGGGTCACCACAACATGAGGAACTGTATTAAGGGGTTGGGGCATTAGAAAGGTTGAGAAACACTGCTCTAGAAAATCCATTTTCACCACTTTTTAATCCAATGAAATGTTGATCCATAACAGATAGTGTTTTTAAATGAGTCATGAAGGGAAATCAAAAGCAGCTCTCATGCATACTTTTTTCAGCGATTGCTGAAGAAAATTTGAGGAAAGCACCAAGAGGAGAAAGAAGAAGGAAATTACTTTCTGAAGTCCTCAAACCTTACCTCGCCTGGTTCATCCAATATGGACATCCATCCTTTCTTGAAATTGAGAAGATCTGGCTGGAATGAGAGAAGACCACACAGCAGTTTAGTAAAACAGGATTATATTAAGGCGTAAAATACGAAAATACAAAATAAATGCAATCTTAAGCTGGACAAAGTTACTAACATTTTGTTGATCATGTCATTTGTTCTTGGTGATAACTGTCCTATAGCAGCAATGTTAAAATGTTATTCCAAGTATTTGGAGGATACTAGGTTAAACAAAGCAGTCCTGCCCAAACTCTGTCTATATTGCATTCAATAAACGGGAAGTGAGATTTGGTGTCAATAATGGTTTGGACAAAAGTTAAGACGCTGATATTGAACCCAGGCAAGATAAAAGTTCTTTCTACCAATAAAAAGGGTTTCACTTGTGATGTTCAGACAAACACTATCAGAAGAAATGTAGAAGTTTCCTGTTTAGGGCTCTTGGACTAGGCACTATATCTAGTTTGTAGTTGTACCCAGACACACATATACACAATATTTCATGTATTAGCTGCATCATTTTCTGGAACCTTCCACATGGGCCATGGTCTGGGGGCTGTATCTAATACACAGGAAAGGCTAGCTTTTAGGACATTTTCTGGAGTGGGCAACTTGCCCCCTCGTGATATTTTTGAATTGCAGCTCCCATCCATCCTATCTAGCATAGCCAATAGCAAGGGCTGATACTAACTGAAGTGTAATACCTTCTTAAGAGCTGCATAATTCTAATTCTCAATCTATACCTTGAATCCTATTTTGGGAGAAAGGCGGAACATAAAGTCAACAAATAGAAACAGTGCCTTTAGACTCAGAAATAACAAGAGCCAAGTATCTCCAGAATACCAACAACATTATATCTCCAAACAACCATGACCAACACTTTCATACAGATGTTAAAAAGTAACGCATGGAGGGGCAGATTACGATCTTGAGGAACTCCACAAATCAATGGTCATAGTTTTGTGTGGAACTTTGTTAAGACATATCAGAAATACCATTGGGGTCCATAAAACTCTCAAAGCAGACCAATTTAATGCTCATCCACACCTGTGAAGGGTCATTCAGTTATAGCTGATTTCTTCATCAAATAGTGATCAAATCATGACAAAGAATGCAATTAAAGATCTTTCCTAATATTACCTTCAATATCTCATAAGGAATTGAAAAATCAGTTCTTAAATCTATTCACTTGGCTGCGTGCGATTAGGAAGCTATGTGGAACGAGGCCATAATTTTTATGGTAGGCACTTATGACACTGAGGTACAATTACAAACGCTAAGTACTATATACAGTACCTGGAAATTCCGATGCTATCGAAATTCCAATGTAAACAGATCAAGATCATTGGGAATTCCAGTGTAAACAGATCAAGGTCACCAATTACTTCCTCATCTTGAAATGGCATCCTTTCATTAATTTATTGGGATCATCACACTATGAAAACATTGGATCCTTTTGTGTTTTTAAGGATTTTTAAAGTATTTACTCTAATATTCATCATTTTTGCTTAAAAGTGTGCTTCCAGTTTACATCTTCACATCACAGGAAACAAGCAAACAAGCGTTAAATTCTGTCTTGTCTACACAGGAGATGACTAAACAAACATATATTAAAATTATCTGCCCAAGGCTATGAGACTACAAACATCTTCTTGAGAGGCTTGGCTGAGTAAAACCCTTCCCACTGGTGTCAAGCATTCACCACCTCCCTGCTTGTTTCTACTCAACATCAGTGGGGTGGATGCCATCCTAAATCAAAGCAGCAATATTGCACACTCACTTCGCTCCTACAGCACCCCAACCAGTTTGGCTTCTCAGTACAAAACAGCTGACACAGGAAGATGAAACAAGGAAAGAGCCTCACAAAACCACAAAAGAGCATAATATGACCCCCACTCAAAAAGAAAGAAGGTGACTAAATATATGAGTGTATTATAGACTATAAAAAGGGGAAAAAACCAAGTGATCCTGATTATTACTGAATTGAAGATCCTAGAAGCCTGAGCCAGCCAGATTACTGTTACGTGCTCTATGTGGGGCTACCTCTGAAGAGTGCTCGGAAACTTCAGCTTGTCCAAAGAGATGCAGCCAGGTTACTCACTGGGGCTGGCTACAGGGAGCAGACAACCACCCTGTTGCAGAAGTTCCACTGGCTGCCAGTCTGTTTCTGGGCACAATTCGAAGTGTTGGTTATGACCTTTAAAGCCCTAGACCAGTGGTTCTCAACCTGTGGGTCCCCAGGTGTTTTTGTCTACAACTCTCAGAAATCCCAGCCAGTTTACCAGGTGTTAGGATTTCTGGGAGTTGAAGGCCAAAAACATCTGGGGACCCCAGGTTGAGAACCACTGCCCTAGACAGTTCTGGTCCAGGCTATTTGGCTGACTGCATCCCCTTGTATGAATCTGCCTGAGCCTTGAGATCTTCAGGAGAGGCCCTTCTCTCGGTGCCACCTCCACCTCAAGCTCAGTTGGTGGGAACGAGAGTGGGCCTTCTCGATGGCTGCCCATCAACTTTGGAACTCCCTGCTGAGGGAAGCCAGAATGGCCTCCTCCATGATGTCCTTTCGGTGGCAGGCTAAAACCTTTTTGTTCAGACAGGCTTTTAAAGATGAAGATGTTTAAAATCTAGTCAGGTGATGCTGTGGTTTTTAACTTTGAATATGTTTTGATGGATTTTAACTGAATGTTTTAGTGCTATTTGTGTTTTATTCTGTTTTAATGTTTGTATGTTTTAAGTTGTATACTAATGCTTTGAGGACCCTTTGGGGAGAAAGAGCAGGGTATAAATAAATATAATATTAATAATGAAGACCATGGCCACAGATTTCAGGGGCTGGAGTCCAACATTATCTGGGAATCTAAAAATGCTTTTCACAAGCAGTGCCCCCTCTTCATTAACTCAAACACACCTTCAAATCCTTAACTGGAACTACCTTTGCACAGCTAATGAACACAACTCATTTACTTTCAGAATGTATTAAGGTACAGTTATAAGATAGCAGCTTGTTAATGGTATAACTAGCTTTAGAAACTTTTTTTCAACTTTCTCATTATTTGAAAACAATTAAACATCCACCCTCTGAATTCCCTCTTTTAAAACAGTGCTACAAGTTACTGCCTTGTGGTGTAGAAATGTACCCTAAGGTCTAAAGCCACACACAGCCGATTGTTTGTAAGACTAAAACAATTATTTACATTAGAAAGAGAGCAAAGTTATCGCATGTTTCATTACAATGACAATGCAATTTAACTATGCTTTAGTTGTTGACACAAGGAACTACAGTTGGCCTTCTATAGCCACAGATTCTACATCCAAAAATTCAACCATATACAGCTTGAAAATATCCACCAACCCCATTAAAATTCTGTTTTTACTATTTCATATAAAGGAAATCATTTTGCTATTGTATAAAAGCAGGATTTGAACATCCTTTAGTTATTGACACAAGGAACTACAGTTGGCCTTCTATGGATGTAGAATCCTTCTATAGGGATTCTACATCCAAAAATTCAACCATATACAGCTAGAAAATATTCACCAACCCCATTCAAATTCTATTTTTACTATTTCATATAAGGGACACCATTTCTCTATGTCATTGTATATATATAATGGATTTGAACATCCATGGGTTTTTCTTCTCCATGGAGGATCCTATTATGGTGGACACCAAGGGCACAATGAAATTAAAAATAACTTGTGTGCAGTTAGTTACTTTCAAGGTCAGCTAAGCATACCTTCAGTGCTTCCCACTTCAGTGAAGGTTAATTATATTCCCCCTCCTTCCCCCATCCCCAGCGGTGTCAGATATTGCTCTTTGGAAAGAGGATCTGCTTTCTGCCCAAACCAAAGTTTTTCAGCTGTACCAAGGCAGGTACAGTTTTGGACAGAACCCTCAAAGTTAAGTATTAAAATACCTCTAAGTGATCTATCATCCAAGGGGAAGTTTTATTCTCCAGAAAGAACCAATACAACCTTGAAATGTCTGCAAGAGTTAGGCTCTTTCCCAGGTTTGAAACTGCATCCAGAACAAGGAGACGTTTCCTGGGGAAACAGTAAAAGTACTAAACAAATTCCCAGAATTGTCCCATGCTGCAATAACTCTATGTCAAATGCTGCTCCAACTCCTCGCTATGAATGAATCAGGAAAGGCCAACAAGAGAGCAAAAGACATATCCCTACCACAGAGCTGTCTGCATCAAGAAACCCATGTACAGGAAAGCCGTTCAGAGAACCCAGCTGCCACATGCTCCACTAATGAAGAAGGAAGCATGTGGAGGACCTCGGCATCTCCAAAGTAGGTATTCAGTACCCCAAATGGGTCTTCCAAGCCTTTGAAGAAAGCATCCACTGTCTGCAAGGTGACTGCAAAGCCAGCTCAGTGAAACTTTCCCTACTTTCATCTCCAACCGCTGAGTTCTTGGGTTACGCCCAAACGCTCAGGCAGGCAGGAGTCCTGGCCCGTCCCAGGCTCTACAACTCAATTGGATGCAGGGGAGGTTCACCTGTTGCCACAACGATGACTTCCAGCCTATGGCAGCCATGTGTGGCCAGGGTGTCCGGTTGCAGAAACTGGATGTCAACAGGAAAGGGGGAAAAGAAAACCCACGGGGAAACTAGAGCTGGATGACCCAGGCTGCTTCACTCTTCGCCTCCTGGACTGCCAAATGCTGGGAGAAGAGAGATAGCAATGGGAGGAGAGCAGAGAAAGGGACAGTACAAACGTAAATCGACAGTAACGATCATGAACATAATCTATGGATTCTGTACAGTGTGAGGCATTGATTTTTAGACCCTGGAGTTAATGGTCTTACTGGGCTCCTGTTTTAGATGGCTGTGCACAACCTGCCTACACCCACCCATTCGATTTGCCACTGCATGCTTTATTGTGCCTTCTGTGTTGCTAAGAATTTGAGGAACGATTTTTTTAAAAAAAAGACTTTTTTTGAGTATGTGCAGTTTCACATTTCATATTTACAGCACAATCATGACTTCAGAAAAAAATGGGATGTTTCTCCTGCTGTCCTCAT